CCTTTGTCAAATATTAATTGAGCATAGTGGTTTGGGTCAATTTCTAGGTTCTCTAGTCTATTCCATTGGTCTATATGTCTGTCCTTATGCCAGTACCAGGCAGTTTTGAGAACAATCGCTTCCTAGCACAGCTTGATATCTGGTATTGAGATCCTCCTACTTTGTTCTTCTTTCTCAGGATTGCTGCAGCTATTTGGGGTCTTTTTTTTACTCCAGATAAATTTTTGGAGAATTTGTCCTAGGTCTGTGAAATATGCCACTGATATTTTAAGGTGGAGTGCATTGATCTATTGCTTTGGGTAGAATGGACATTTGAAGGACATTGATTCTACAAATCCACGGATATGGTGTGTTCTTCTATCTGTTTATGTCTTCCTCTATCTCTTTTTTCAGTGTCTTGTAAACTTCTGAGTAAAAGTATTTTACCTCCTTAGTTAAGTTTATTCCTAGGTATCTGAATTTTTTGGTGCAATGGTAAATGGGATTGTTTTTTAAGTCTCTCTTTCTGTAAGTTCACTACTGGTGTATAAAAATGCCATAGATTTCTTGGCGTGAATTTTGTATCCTGCTACAATGCCGAATTCATTCATTAAGTCTAATAATTTTTTGATGGAATGTTTAGGGTATTCTATTAAAAGAATGCTTTTTAACCCTTGGATTAATTTCATTAACTTATCCTTGCAAATTTTCCAAACTTAAGTCTCTTTTGAGGCCAATCCTATCTTTAAGATTACAGATATATTCTTTGAGTAAGCAACAATTCAGCTATAATACATAAGAAGAGCATTCTCTTGACAGCTCTTTGCATCAATTCAAATAGTCTTTTAAGCTATCTGTTACTGAGGGCCTCCTTACGCCAGGCCTGGGAATGCAAAGAACCCTGAGAAGTCAGCCCTGCCCTCCTGGCGCTCACTGTCCTCAGCTCAGGGCAGAGCCCTCACTGGGAAAGTCAGGGGGCAGGTTGGAGATAAGTTCCCCATGCAATATGCATCTGAAAGCAGATGGGCCCAGCACCCACCAGCACTGCGTTCCTAGGAGACCAGGGCTTTGGGGAAGGAGCATGGACAGTAGGGACAGCAGGAGGGAGAGGCAGGGACCAATATGTCCCAACTAAATGCCATCCTTCTACTTTCCTCACCCTCTTCTCCCACAGCCTGTTTGTCTCCTAACACTGACCAATGCTAACATTACATTATCTGTTCATTTGTTTATTGTGTAACTCTACTCCCAGAAATTGTAGCCCCACACCAGCAGGACCGAGTCATTCATGCTATAGCGGGCTGCCACGGACAGTGCCCCATACAGAAGAGGAGCTTTAAAATCATTGAATAAATGAATGAATCTAGAGTTTCAGAATAAAAGACTCTACTGTTTTCTACTTAGAATTCCAGGTTTTCTCTGGTGGTGAACAAATACTAGGTGTACCAGTTAATAATGCGGATTTTTTCAATAGATGGAGTTACACATATGATGATATATATGCGATTTGATATGTATGCTATTTTGTTGTGTTGACAGCAAGCTTCAAAACTTCATATGTCAAATCCGTTGAAGGTGTTAACATCATAGATACGTTTATGCTTAAAAATGTCAAATTTCATGCCAAAAAAAAAAAGAGCATTTGAGGGAATTTTTAATTCATTACTTTATTTTAAAGAAAATGTTATCATATACTTCGGGAAGTTTATGGTGATCATGCTCCATCTCAAGATACTTGTGAATGCTGGATTAAATGCTTTAAAAGTGATTATTTCTATGCGAAAGACAAAGAACGTCCAGGTCAACTGCAAAAGTTTAAAGACCAAAAATTACAAGCATTATTGGATGAAGATACACGTCAAACTCAAAAACAACTTGCGGAAATATTAAACATTGCTCAGTAATTTCCGATCAGTTTCAAGCAACGGGAAAGATTTTAAAGGAAGGAAAATGGGTACATATCAACTGAATGAAAGACAAATGGAAAATCTAAAAGTCATCAGTAAAATGTTGCTTTCATGGCATGAAAGAAAGTCTTTTTTGCATCAAATTGTGACTGGCAATGAAAAGTGGATTTATTTTGAGAATCTCAAATGCACAAAATTATGGGTTGATCCAGGTCAACTATCAACATCAACTGCAAGGCCAAATCACTTTGAAAAGAAAACAGTGCTCTGCATTTGGTGGAATCAGGAAGGTGTGGTGGATTATGAGCTCCTAAAGCCATGTGAAACCGTTAATACTGACAACAAATAATCAATTTGAACACGCTTTGATCGTGAAAGAACCAGAATATGCCAGAAGACATGGCAAAGTAATTTTGCTTCATGATGACACACCACCATATGCTTCAAAACCAGTTAAAGACATGTTAAAAGATCTTGCCTGGGAAGTATTAACCCACTCGCTGTATTCACCAGAACTTGCTCCTTCAAGATTATTTGTTCCGATCGATGGCACACACACTTTCTAAGCAGCACTTCAAAACGTACAAATTGGGTCTCTGAATGGTTTGCCTCAAAACAAGAAAAGTTCTATTGGGACGGCATCCACAAATTACCTGAAAGATGGATGCATGTGTAGCTAGCGATGGACATTACTTTGAATAAAGCACTTTTGATGTTTCTCTTAAAATTATGGTGTTTTCTTTTATTAGAAAATCCGCATTATTAACCGGTACACCTAGTAGTTCTCCACACCTGGCTTCTCCAAAGTGACCAGGAGAAATTCAGTGAAAGTAGCTTCCCTCCTTTCAGCTGTCTTTCAGAGCATTCCTCACCTCCCTGTGGAATTGCCTCTCTGATCTATACATACTGATTTCCCTTCTCCAGGCACAAAATTAAAAAAGTTTCTTAAAGAGCAAGACAATTTAACATAAATGGTAGGCTGTACCTGCCATTAAAAGGAGGAATTTCCTTGTTCCCAAAGTTGTATTTCTGAGACAATGTAGCAAGAACCAGATAGGCCTGAATGGGCTCATTGTATTTTCACAATCAAATCACCAATTATAAAATTTCAAGACTCCCAGATAATCCGTTTAAGCTGAGTATAAACTCATGGGTCTCAGATCTACTACTTGTTAAATATAAGATCAAATATGCTTAGCTCTCAAGAACTATTCCTGCCATCTCTCCCTCCTTCTCTCCCTTTTTACGGATCTTTGTTGTTCCATCAGGATAATGAACTATAATAGAAATGGAAAGAGAAGGAATTTAATACATTACAATTTAAATATTGGATAATAACACCACTAACCTCAAATGTTTATTTCTAAAACTTGTTTTAGATTTTAATATCCTTCCATTTCTCCCAACTATCTTCTCATTAAGCAGCATTCTGGAGAATATGAAAAGAATGCATTTCATACGTGTCCCTGCTGATTATTCGTTAAGGCTCCTTATGGGTGCAGCCATCTTTGTGATGGTGCAGCCATCTTTGTGATGGATAATGGTCAATTAGCATATTCCCTCTTTATTAGATAGGTTAGATAAAATGCATATTGCACATATGTATATTTAACTTGTATAATAACCATGGAAAACAGAGGATGAAATTGAAATTTACATATATCAGAGAACCTAGAGCCATTATGCAATATACAAGGAAATACATTTTTAAAAATAAAGCAATATGAAGAAGGCACAGCACATAAGAGGAGTCAGGAAAGAGAACAATAGCAACTTAATTAGACAAAGCACCTAGTATAAGAAAATAAACTTGAATTGAGCAGTACATTTTAATAGCTACAGTTTCTCACTTCTAATTAACAGAAAGTCTTAAAATGCCAATATCTACTGAAAGTGAAGTGCTTAGGCAGTGTTTGCAGGAGAGTGGACGTGGGTTCACAGGAAGTGTTGGGGAACAAGTTACTTCCTCCTGAGTTGCAGCACCATGGAGGAGTCTTAGGAGAAACCACAGCAGAACACACACTGCCGTTGTAGAAACTGACACACACCTTCCTGCAGGGGAAGTTCTGCTCGTCATGCCTCGGAGAAGATATGGAAACAAAGGGCCCAGAAATGGGAAATTTGTGAAAAGGCAATTATAAGGAGAGAAATTAGGAACCACTGATCTTCAAAGACTAAAGCCGAACAGAAAAATGTCTTCCAAAGTTTATAGACAGAATGAAAATAAGCGCTAACTAATATGGCTGAAGTCGAAATAAGGCGGAGCCAAGGAAAAGTCTTGATGGAACAGGAAAACATATGAGATGCATCATCCCACTACATTTAGAATGAAATCCAAAGGCCTTTACAAGTTCCGAGGGCCGCTCAGACCTCTCCCCTCCTGTCCCCACCCTGGTCTCCTCCCCAGACCCAGCCACAAGGTCTCCCTCCTGCTGCTCTCACAAGCCCACGTCTTGCTGCTGCCTCGGCCTGAATGCTCTTCTCCTAGCTCCCTACCTGGCCAGCGCTGGTTTGAGATCTCAGTGTCAAACTCATCTCTAATGGGACCTCCCCTAACTGCCCCACCCAGGACCACCTGCTCCTGGATCAGCCACTTGGTTTCATTTTCCCACAATGCTTTGCGTCATATGAGGTGGCCACATCCATTTACATCGATTGCGTGTCTCCCCAAGTAAGAAAGAAAAGAATTAAAAAGTTACACATCTTGCAGGCTTTCCCTGACTCTCCAGGCGAGGTCAGATCACTGTATTTTGTTATACTTTTCTACCTCATCTTTTGCAACCCAAATTGTAATTTTTTTCTCAATAATATTTGCTTTTCCTCAAGAAGTTCTACGGGTAGAAGCCACTGTGTGCTCCCCACCACTTCCTCTTAGGTGAAACGCGCTGAGGTTGAGCCGAGAGCTTGAAAAATGCAACGAGGAGCATGCAAATACGTAATGAGTCTGAGGAATGATGCTTCACCTCAGGCTGTCACATGACTCTATCTAGGGGCTCAGCAGCCCCAAAGAGACGACAGGGTGAAGGAAGGTGCTAAGGCCGGGGACGCCCCAGGACCGGGGTCAGTGCGACACCAGGACCCCGGAGCCGTTCTCTGGCCTCGGCTGGCACTCACCATCGTCTCAGGAGCTCAGCACGGAGGAACAGGTAGCACTGCCACAGGAAGACACCGGCTCTGACGCGGACGCCCGGTTACCCTGGCAACAGAGCCCCGCCCCTGCAGGACGTTGCGTAGAGGCCGCGGTCCCTCTCCCTCATCCCTATTGGCTGGGAGTAACCAAAGCTCCTCCCACTCATTTGACGTTCGCAGCCCTGGACGCCGTGGCCCGGGGCGACGGAACACCGCCTAGGTCTTTCCAGCGTCATCACTTCCGTTTCGTTGACAGCTGACCCGGAAGTTCAAGCTAGTATCCAGCTAGGGTCCAAATATTCTCTCGTTTATTTTAAAATAAGCATCTGTCCAAGTTTTCACTCCCTGAAGCCTACACCGTCTGGTCTGTGCCGCTTGAGTTTAAACGCAAGACAGAGCATGTTTACCTGTGTGTTTGGAAACGTCTTCCGGAAACGAAACCCTGAGTAATCGATCGGAAGTGATAGGAGGGAGGGGAAGTCGCTGACGCTAAGGCCGGGCGGGCGGCTGGGAATGGAAGGGGACTGACTGACTGCGGAGAAGTTGCCCCGGGATTTCGCGCCGAGCCCCCTGCCCCGGAAAGCCCGCCGGGAGGGAGTGAGGATCCCAGAGGTACGTCCAGGCGCGGGCGCTGGGGCCGAGGGGACGGTGACAGGGACGGGGTCTGGGCTGGAGTGTGGGTGTCCGCGCCTTTGGGTCTAAGGTAAGGTGACCAGACGTCCCGCTTTTGGCGGGGGAGCCCCGATTTTCAACTATTTGTCCCGCGTTTTATTTTAAAACGCCGCGGACAAATTGTTAGAAAGCGGGGCTGGTCACCTTAGTCTAAGGCTGGACTTCGGGTAGACGGCCCGGGAAGGCGGAGGTTGGGAGGCGTGTCGCCTCCTTACCGGCCGCCGGTTACCCACTCCCTCCACACATCCCGCTGCGGTGCTCGTCCCTCGCTCAGCATCTTCCCAGCGCGGTTGGAGGGCTCCTGGCGCCATCGCAGGCACTTTGGGACCCGTTTTCGGGGTGATTGCCGAGGAGGGGCGTCCCGGAGACCCGGTGCCGAGCCACAGCGAGTGCCCAGAGTGATCGTTTTTTGTGGTGAAACCAGTTGCTCTCGCCTTACAGGTCACCGCATATTGTTAATATTGCATTCGTACCGCCTTCCTTCTCTTGTTCTGCAGTGACTCAGTCAATACTTTAAGGCCACGCATACATTTCTGAAAGTACGTGCTCTGCCATTTTAATCTTATTTCTGAGAAAGTGCAAACTGAGCTATTATGGATATTTTTATTGTTTGTTAAACATCTGAATAGAAGCTCTTCTCTGATATACAAAGTGAACAAATTAGTGCTAATGTCTGCTGGCACGGATTACTTTAAATTTCCAGTTGTTGTATCAGTGATGCAATAGCTAATGTGCTATTTCTGAACTAAAATTTAGGACACACATCCAATAACTTAGAGTATATGGTGAGGACAGTGACATGTAAATACCACCCCTGACTTTTTTGTGTGTGTGAGAAAGAGATTTGGTCGCTTTAACAATATCACCTGTTAAAAAAAGAATATAAGGAATACTCCCTTTCTAAATGCATGTTACTAAATACAGAAGTAAGTAGAATATAATCATGTTTCAGGGTAAGTGTGTTTATACAGTCTTGTTTTAACTTTCATTTTACACATTTTTAGGTTATTCAGTAGAAGTCTTGGGGTGCATTTTCATTGATTAAAAATGACTACTCTTGGGAATTTAGAAACTAAAGGTAAGTCTTCTTTTGATGATAATTGTTTTTAAAACATGACATTTATGATGATAGGGCAAAGAGATGTTTGAGCCAGCGGGGTAAATCTCATAGAGGCCTGGGGAATCATCTGTGGTTCAGACTGTAGCCGAGTTTTTCACTAATGATTGAGTGTAGAGGGGGGAAAAATGAAGCATTTTTAGGATGAGTTAGTTACTGGCTATTAATGTGAAATCTTCTTGGGTTAACATCATTGAACTTCAGGAAGCACCAATACATCTTTTCTGTGCCAAGCACATTTCTGGAAGCTGAGGAGACAAAGACTAGGAGGCAGCCCCAGCCTGGCCAGCTCCCAGCTCTCTAGTCCGCAGGAAAAGCAGTGATTTGAAGACACTCTGGTGTTTGCATCACTCTGAGAGCACTGAGTTCAGAGATTTGCCCCAGGCCACACAGTATGTGGCAGGAGGGACTGGAGTTATCGTATTTTAACGGCATTCAGCGTTTGGGTGTTTCCTATCGCACCATCATGCTGATTTAGGACATCTGTTTTCATAGATTTTCACCTTTATGAGATAAGGAGAAATGTTTAATAAACTACAAAATCATCTTTTTGCCTCAGTGTTCTAGAACAGGGTTGAAAATTAGGGCCTTTGGGCCTCCTGAGAACATTTGCAATCAGTTTGGTAATAGGGAGCACTAACTGAATACCATTTAAGCCAAGTGTTATCCCAAATAAAAAAGAATTCTGTTCTTCTCAGTATTAGACCTATATTAAAACAAAAACAAAAACAAACAAAAAACCCACAAATTTTATTCCATTATTAGTTTGAATTTCATGTATAAAATTTGGGGGTTTTTTCTTCTTTTATAAGTACCTACTTATGCTCAACTTTGTCTCATGGTCCAAACAGCTTAAAATCTTTATTATCTAGTCCTTTACAGGAAAAGTTTGCCAACCCTGATCATTTGTTCTTTCCTGCCTTTCAGCATCCTTGGGGAAGACAATAAGAATGAGCCAGAAACGTTAGATATGTGTTTTTTTTTTAATATATTTTATTGATTTTGTACAGAGAGGAAGGGAGAGAGATAGTTAGAAACATCGATGAGTTATCGATCAGCTGCCTTTTGCACACCCCCTACTGGGGATATGCCCGCAACCAAGGTACATGCCCTTGACCGGAATCGAACCCGGGACCTTTCAGTCCCCAAGCCGACGCCCTATCCATTGAGCCAAACCGGTTTCGGCACGTTAGATATGTTTTAATCTTTGATAAATGATCACAGGTGGAAATGCTGTTGGTGCACATCTGAATTATGTCGTCAATTCCCTTCAAAGAGTGGAAAAGGATAGGGTTCATGCTTTGCCTTACGTAAGCATTGCTCATAATTATGGAGCTGGTACCACACATCATGGTCCTCCCACTGGGGAGAAGGTCATTGCTCATGAATGTGTCCTGGATTGTGCCAGTGCGTGTGTAATAAAGGTTTCTATGTGTGTCATGAGAAAAACAGAATTATGAAAGGTGAGCTACCAGGTGAGGAAATGTGAAGCCCTGACCCCCTTTGCCTGCTGTGCGTGCCTGTGGGCTTGCAGCGTAGCCATTACAGAGAGGAGCTGCCACGTGGTACATTGTACACCTTGGCACTCCTAAGCCCTGAGTAAGTAGGACAGTTTAATGCAGCTAAGAGTAAACTGTGGTTGAACCAAGTTGATTGAATTTGATTGGAACTTGAACATAATTTGTTTAAAAGGAGATTTCTTTTAAGCTTCAGCAGGCCTGAATGTAAAGCTCTAGTTTCCTTTAAAAAAAAAAAATTATATATATATATTATTGATTTCAGAGAGGAAGGGAGAGGCAGAGAGGTAGAAACATCGATGATGAAAAAGGATCATTGACTGGCTGCCTCCTGTACACCCTCCACTGGGGTTCGAGCCCACAACCTAGGCATATGCCCAGACCAGAATTGAACCATGAATCCTAGTTCATAGGTCAGTGCTTAACCACTGAGCCACGCCAGTCAGGCTATTTTCTTTTTTTTTTTTTTTTCCTTTTCTTTTTTTAAAAAAATATATTTTTATTGATTTCAGAGAGGAAGGGAGAAGAGATAGAAACATCAATGATGAGAGAAAATCATTGATTGGCTGCCTCCTGCAACCCCCCTACTAGGAATCAGGCCCACAACCTGGGCATGTGCTCTTGACTGGTATCAAATCTGGGACCTGTCAGTCCCCAGGTCTATGCTCTATCCATTGAACCAAACCAGCTAGAGCTAGTTTCTTTGTTTAAAAAAAAAAAATTGTAGTTAATTCATGATTCTACATTACTTCTTAAATTCCAGGTGTCTCAGTAATAACTGCAGGGGAGAGGGTATTAGGAAGAATATTCTAAGCAGAGAAATGTCTGGAGAGGAAGGCAGACTTTTGCTGCTATTGTGTCCCCCTCCAAAAATCAAGTCAGGCTGGAATACAGAGTCTGCGGTGGGTGTCAGTGGCAGAAGTGGGGCCCCCGCAGACAGGCAGGGCCAGGTCTCGGCGAGCTGGGCAGGCCGTGCTAAGGATCTTGTTTGTTCTGAGAGGGATGAAGGCCATTCCAGGATTTGGCACAGATCAGCTCCACATGATTTGGAAAGCTCGCTATACCTGTCATAAATCCTGTAGGCTCCGTGGTATGCCAGGTAGTGGCATTAGCAGGTTGATGAGGCAGTAGCTGTGGTTTGCGGATGGCCTCCTGGGCCAGTTAACAGCTTACTCTAGAGTCAGATTTGGATTCAAGTCCCCGTCTGACATAGATGATTTGGACAAGCTGTGCAACTTTTCAAAGCCCCCTTTTCTGTCTACAAATGTGTATGTTGTGCTTATGAGATAGGTGTAAAAGTTAAATGTTCCCATCTGAAGGATGTAGAGAAGCCCTTCGCACACAGTAAGCTGAATGAAGGTTAATTAGTTCTATTTGTGGGCTCTGCCTTCCATTTCTCCAGTGTGTGCTGGACTTGTCAAATGGCAGGGATCTCAGGTGTAGCTCAAAGCGCTGCTATGTGTGAGTTCAGAGCTCCGTGTAGGTGTCACCTGAGCACCTCCTCAAGGTCTGCAGCACTTCCTGTTCTAGCACCCGCTCCACACTTCCTCAGCGCTAAACCCCTCTGCCTCGAGTCAGTAAGCCAGTGGTTCTAATGCCTGGACCTTTTAATACAGTTCCTCAGGTTGTGGTAACCCCCAACCATAAAATTATTTTTATTGCTACTTCATAACTGTAATTTTGCTACTGTTTGAGAACCGCCAGGAGGGTTTTACATGACCATATTTACATTTTTAATAACAGTAGCAAAATTACAGTTAAGAAGTAGCAATGAAAATAATTTTATGGTTGGGGTCACCACATGAGGAACTGTATTAACGGGTTACAGCATTAGGAAGGTTGAGAACCACTGCAGAAAAGGGAGCCCTTTCCTGGAGAAAGGTGGCTGACACCTTTTTTATCCTCCTCACTGGCGGTAAGACAACGGGTGGAAGAAGCAGAGCTGTTGGTTGCTGACTGGAGCAATGGAAGTGTACTGGTGAGCAGAGCTGCCTTCTTACATGAGGGAAGATAATTTATTTCAGTTGAGCAGATTAGTTTGGTAAACATGTGCAGCAGTGCACTAAGCGATATGGAGGACAGGGATGGGTGCTACTATTTATTGAATTCCTGCTATTTACTTGTTTGCTGGACACTTTATACCTGAACTTGAACTTGGGAAACTGGAAGAAGTAGTATATGCAGTGGGGAAGGCCTCAGTCCTTGTGAACAGACTGCTTAGAATTCATTTCTGCCTCTTCACTTCCTAGCTGTGTGGTGTGACCATGGGCAAGTTGCTGGACCTCCCTGTGCCTCATTTTCCTCATGTGTAAAATAGAGCTAATCATCCTACTCACAGGGTTATGTTAGGAGTACAAGAGTTCTATATAAAGTATTTAGAATAGTATTTGGCACATGGTAAGTCTTTTGTAAGTGTTGGTTACCTGTTACTTAATATTTTCTCATTTAAACTTCTGATTTAATACTACCTGGATGTAAATATTATTAATTCCATGGAAGTTAAAACTGAAGCTGAGATCATTATAGAATTTTGTCCAGATTGTAATAGTGGAAGGAATTCAAACCAGATCTGGGTGATCCCCAAAGTCCTTTCATTCCTATGGCACCATGTATGGGCATAATGTCTGCTCTTAATGTGCTTTCAGACTTACTAGGAAAGAGAAAATAGCATGTACCAAACCCTTAAAATGATAATGTTGGTTCATGATTAAGCTTCAAACTGAACGTTTGAGACAGTAAGTGCCATGGGTATTCTTCAGAGAGTGGGCCGGAACAATAGGGAAGATTTGATGTGAAGCGTGGAGTTGAAGCTGACTTCTTAGGGCTAACCGAGAACCACAGTGAGGCCAAAGCAGCCACTTAAGAGAATAAGACAGCGGGAACAGCGATCAGAGGCCCGGGAGAGAGAGCATTGAATAGTTCAGTTGGGTAGTTTGTGCGAAGCATTGTTTGTCAAGAGTTCAAACAACAGATAAATTATTTTGAAGTAGATGCTTTCAAATATGCATATTTTTTTATAATTAGCTGACATTATTGAGTATCTACGGTATGGCAGGCTCTTGATCTGTGTTCTTGCTTACCACAACCCTGTAGCACAACTGTCATTGTCTCCGTTTGCAGGTTAGGGCACTGAGATTCATGGAGGGTTAACTGATTTTCCTAGAGTCATACTAGGAAGAAGAAGTCAGAACCAAACACCCTGATTCCAAATCTGCATTTCCTACCGAGAGAGAGGCCATCTACTTAAGGGAAGCTTGAACCGTAGGGCATAGTTCATCTTTCTTTGACACACGATTGTTTTGAAAATCACTTTCAGTCTGAATATTTATTTCCATCCTGTAAGCGCCAGTGATTCTGATGTAGGGTGAGATGTGTCTTGGCACTTTCCTGGTACTTCTTTTCAGTAAGTAGTTTGTTTTTTGCTCCCTCTTTCAGTCACCCTGACTTCAACCCCAATCAGAGGAGCAGGAGATGGAATGGAAACGGAGGAGCCGCCTAAGGCTGTTGAAGTCACCTCTGCAGTCCAGCCTGTGAAGCCCCACGTCCTTCCGAGTCCACGAAGGAAAACGGTCGCACCAGAGAGTCCGGGAGTCCTGCAGCTGGGCAAGATTCTCACCGAGAAAGCAGTGGAAGTCGAGGCTGTAAGAATATTGGTTCCCAAAGCTGCTATCACCCATGTTGTCCCCAACAGAAATGCCAAGGGTAAGCCTCTCGGACGTCAGAAAGGGGAGCTGTCTGGTCAGTCCGAGGGAGCGGCCGAGCCCCGGAAGGAACTCGCAGAGGTGAAGAGCAGCCTGGAGAAGCTCAGGAACTCGGAAAGGAGGCTGCTGCAGGACCGAGAGGGCCTTTCCAACCAGCTCCGCGTGCAGACGGAGGTAAGGACCGTCCCAGTTGCAGCGGTGCTTGCCACACCTGCCCTGAGCCTGCGCGTTAGAAACTCCATTCCTCCTGGGAACGCAGGTGCCACTCACCACAGCCCGTCACCTCTCTAGATGCTTCCTCTCACATTTCACATTCTCAGGGCCTCCATGGAACTTACACTCTGACCCACACTGAAGAGGGAAGAGTGAGGAATACCTAAAGTTACAAAGGAGGTTACAGTTGTAAGCTTCCAGACCAAAGACTGGCCAACTCAGGCTTTGAAACTGACTGGTTAATAAATCCTGTTTTAAGGATCCATGAATTCCAAGAATTTTTACCTACGTATACATAATATGCTTGGAATAAAGAGCATGGTGGGATAAGTATTGGTCTCATCACTGTAAATGGAAACCATCTATTATGTTTGTGTTTCTTTAATCTTTTCATCTTAGTCAACATTGCCTTAGTTTCCACTTTTCCCCTCTTAGTCTTTGTGACACTGGCTAGTGGTTCTTACCCAAATATATTTTAATGTATTTTTAACAACTAATTTTTAATTATAAAAGTATTTGTAAACAATTAGAAAAATACAGAAAACAATGAAAATAGTGCCACCTTAGATGTTAATGTTTTCCTGTGTCACAGAACATTCTATTACAAATAGTGCCACCTTATTGTTAACTTCTTATGTCACAGAATTTTCCATTACAAATAGCCACAGTTCTTGAGTGTATGCATCATAAACCAATACCTGTGATTGGACATTTATATTTTGACTCCTGTGTTTTCAATATTAATGTAAAGGATGTGCTTGTAGAGAATACTGAGTTTCTTCCTTTATTTATAAAATTCTTAAAAGGAAAAATCGTAAGACACAAAGAAATTATTTTTTTAATATATTGATTTTTTTTTTTTTTTTACAGAGAGGAAGGGAGAGGGATAGAGAGAAACATCGATGAGAGAGAAACATCTATCAGCTGCCTCCTGCACACCCCCTACTGGGGATGTGCCCGCAACCAAGGTATATTGCCCTTGACCAGAATCGAACCTGGGACCCTTCAGTCTGCAGGCCAATGCTCTATCCACTGAGCCAAACCAGTTAGAGCAGAGATTATTTTTTAAACGTTAGATAAGATTAAAAACACACACATAAAGCATTCTCTGTCCACTGGCCTTTGTGGCTCCATCCAGGAACCAAGCGGTTCAGGCTCGGTCCCCAGTAGGGAGCGTACAGGAGGCAGCCGATTGTTGATATTTCTCGATTGATGTTTCTATCTCTCTACCCCTCTCCCTTCCTCTCTCTAAAAAATAAATCTAAAAATATATATTTTTTAAATTCTGTCATTTTTAAACAAAAGTCACTTTAGTTTTTTATCTTTTCCCCTTTAAGTATTGCTTGGGAGCAGCTTGTTATTTTTATGACAACAACTTGTGCTCTTATTATAAGAGGCTCAGTTTATAGCCGCCTGGGCTATAAAGATAGAAGTAGGTTTGGTTAATATGTATATATCATGACACCTAGATATTTACTGTCACTTTTTGATCTTTAATAATGGAGGTTCACATTACACAGAACAGTTTCTCTTTTGTTCATTCTGTACAGTGTAGTCACTGACACGCCCTGAGCATGTTCCATGGTTATGTGCTCTTCCAGGTCAATCGCGAATTAAAAAAGCTGCTGGTGGCTTCTGTTGGTGACGATCTTCAGTATCACTTTGAACGTCTAGCCCGTGAGAAAAATCAGCTTATTTTGGAAAATGAAGCCCTAGGTCAGAACACAGCTCAGCTTGCCGAGCAGTTAGAACGAATGTCAATACAGTGTGATGTGTGGCGTAGCAAATTCCTCGCGAGCAGGTATGTTCTGCTTTAAATAGTTTCCATTTTCTAGTTTAGATCTATTAGCCTTTTGACCCATCACACAAGAAAGTCACTGTAGAGTGACAAACTCTGACCAGGTTGTTCATTATTATGGAAGATGTGGACTCTCACTCCTACGGATGGAAGCACAGACTCCCCAAGGGGAGAAGAGAAGAAGGATCCTCCCTCATTCCAGAATTCTAGGTTACTACTCTATAGTAGAAATCACTTCCACTACAATACTTAATACCAAAACAAAATTGTCAATTCAGACACTGAGTAAATATTAAAACCACAATAAAAAAAACTAAATTATTCTCTGGAGAACTCATGTCTGCCACTCTGTAACATAGTATTTTGTGTCCTTCATGCTTGTTCTCATAGTAGTTAATATATAATAGAGCTTCCCAGCCTTTTTCACTCTTTGCACAAACAGAGAAAGATGGCATACGTGTGCATAGTGGATGATGCTGCGCTCCAACAGGCCCATGGACACACTGATAGGTGGGAAACTGTAAGAAATTATGATTCTTTATTTATTAGAGGCGTGGTGCATGGCAGGCCAGGCCAAGGGGATTTGGACAAAACCTGCATTCCAACATCTCCCAAGGGGTCCCCGAGTGTGAGAGGGTACTCTGCAGTGTTGCTGTCACTACGCAGCTCCTGTGTTGGTCACTGGTGGTCAGATGCCCCCTGGTGGTCAGATTACATCATAGCTACTGGCCAGTTGGCTGGTCGGTCAGTCGCCTAGGCTTTTATATAGATCCCCTCCTCCTTCCAACTTTGTGTTACTGGAGAATGGGGTCTGTGGGTTATCCAACTGTGAATTCCCCGTGCTTAGCCAGTGTTTCACACACAATATGCTTACTAGTAATCACTGTTGATTCACATCTAGTCATTTGGTGATATCTCACAAAGCCCCAGAGGTTCCCAGGTTGTACTGTAAGAACCACGATTGTGATGAATAAATTTTCAAGAAAATGTTTCTTCATGTCTTGATTCCTGTGCTACTTTCTAGTAATTGACTACTCTCAAAGTCCTTACTTGGTTTTCTAATCTGACTATGTTAAATATTCTTTGTAAGTTTTTAAAAATGACAGTATAGTTTGCTGTTTGGAGAAATAAATGTACTGCTTATTGTTTTAGGATGGAAGTTAATTCTCCTTAAACAGTTTAGGAGACAACAGATTATTGCAATATGTAACTTTTTTAACATTCTGATCAAAACTGACAATAATGTTCAAAAGGCAATAGAGATATTTTATTTTAGTGATATTTTAGTTGATTTAATCATTCATTGTGAACATTTTTTTTATTTTAAGGAATTTAGTTGTTGCTATGATTTGAGACTTTAATTTTAGTTTTAAGATTTTTCCGCTGATTAAACATACTTAAAATTTGCTTCAGTCCCATCAGTAGGGAACTGATTAAATAAACTTTGGTACATTCAATCAGAAGAAAACATTAAGCTTTACTTTTAAAAAGGGGGATGAGATAGTTCTATATGTGCTAATACTAAAATTTACCAAAATAAACTAGTAGGTGAAAAAAGTAAAGTATAGTTAATATTAAATAATCCTTTTTGTAAGCGAAAAATATATTTATTGTTAACCCATAGTTTTATGTTGAATATACATAATTTTTTTCTGGAAAAATATATAAGGAACTGTACTGGTTATATTTTAAAGGAGGATGGGACCTGGACAGGAGAGAAGGCTTTGCTTTCCTGTGTGGAAGCCTTTTTACATTATTTTAATATTCTTCTAAGGGCAAAGGGGTAATTGAATGGCAGGAAAATAATGCGTTTTTGTTTTCCTTCAAGCTGTTTTATATTTAAAATATTTTATTAATGTTATTTTTTCCAAAATTTGGTAAGATTGAGGAACATTCCAAAAGTCACTATGTATAAGGAAAGCCCATTTCCTTTGTCATTTTGTAATTTCAATTGAATCCCTTCAGTGAGTTTTCAGCTTGCAAACATTTTAAATGCTTCTTAGTGGAGATTGAAACACTGAGAAGTAATATATCTATGTTAAGTATTCTTTGTAAGCTTTTGAAAATGACAGTCGCCAAGGTCATAATTTAACTACTTTGCACTGTGTTGTCGTCGGAGAATTTACAGGTAAGATTTTCATCTATTTCAGGGTTATGGCAGATGAGCTGACCAATTCCAGGGCAGTTCTGCAGCGTCAGCACCGGGACGCGCAGGGTGCGCTCCAGGACCTGCTGAGTGAGCGGGAGCAGCTGCGCCAGGGAATGAAAGCCACCCACACGTATGGCCCTTTTACATCCGGACTCTTCTCCGCTCCTACAGTTCCCAGCATGTGAAAGCTCTATGCCAATAAGTCCAACAGCTTAAATGAAATGGACAAACTCCTTAAAATGCACAAACTACCTAAGAGTATCAAAAACGGATAACCTGAATAGCATAATCTATTAAGACAGTTATATTTGTAATTAAAAACCTTCCAGTAAATGGAAGGCCAGGCCTAAAGGGGTTCACCGGTGAATGCTAGCACACATGTAAGGAAGAAATAAAGCCAAATTTACACAAACTCTTCTAGGAAATAGAGAAGTAGGGAACAGTTTCCAACTCATTATATGAAGCCAATATTATCTTGATACCAAACCAGACAGAGACATTGCAAGAAAACTACAGACCAGTAGTTCTCATTGCATAGATGCAAAAATCCTTCATAGGATTTTAATGAAGCAAATCTAACTATATACAGTCATGTGCTGCATAAAGATGTTTTGGTCAATGATGGGCCTACGGTGGTCCCATAAGATTACAAGGGAGATGAAAAATTCCTACCACCTGGTGGCGTGGCAGCTGACCTAAGGTGGCTGCGTGCTTGCTGGACCGAGTGCACTGCCGACCATGTGGAAGCTTAGCACATACAGTATGTACAGTCCATAAACCTGGTGGTCATACACATCTATTACTGGTCTATGTATTTCTATACTATTTATCACTATGTTAGAGTGCACTCTTCCATGTTATCCCGGCAGCAGCCTCATCCATCCAGTATCTCTGCATTGCATCGATTTCTCTTGCGCTTGCTTAATCTCATGTGGTACAGCAAGCATGTCAAATTCACGGCATACAGCCTGCTGGCCACAAGTTTGACATGCTTATGTACAGTAACTTGCTGTACGAGTTTGTAGCGCACGAGCAATAGGCTGTACCAGACAGCCCTGGTGTGCAGTGGGCTGTACTGTCCAGGGGTGTGTAGTGCACTCTGATGTTCACACAATGATGAAATTGTCTAACATTGCATTTCTCAGAAGATATCCTGTCATTTAGTGGAGCTGACTCTATAAAAAGATTTACACATTATGTCCAAGTTAGTGTTAGCCCAGGAATTGTAGGTAGTATGTTATTCAAAAATTAATGCCGAAACTGGTTTGGCTTAGTGGATAGAGCGTCAGCCTGCGGACTGAAAGGTCCCGGGTTCGATTCCGGTCAAGGGCATGTACCTTGGTTGCGGGCACATCCCCAGTAGAGGGTGTGCAAGAGGCAGCTGATTGATGATTCTCTCTCATCGATGTTTCTAACTCTCTATCCCTCTCTCTTCCTCTCTGTGAAAAATCAATAAAATATATTAAAAAAAATAATTAATGCAACTCACCAAAAGGAAATACCATATGAATAGATGCACAAATCAAATCAGTAGTTCTGTACAACTGAATGATATACTAATGTATTTTACCTATTATAGGATAAGAGGACAAAAAAGTGCTGCTTATTGATTTCCAGATAATAATATAGTAAAGTGATTTCCAGATAATAATATAGTAAATTGCTTTTTGTAATCTAACTTCTTTTCCCAGACTTCCTGATTTATTGAACTCTGATAGATATGGGAGAAAGCTATCACTTCAGAAATAAGCATTCATCGAACATTCCTGATTTTTCCTTTTGTCTTACTAATGTTCAGTGTCCATGCGTGTTCTCTACAGTTTGCTGGAGGAGCTGCTGGTCTCCCTGCAGTGGGGAAGAGAGCAGACTTACTATCCTAGCGCCCAGCCGCATAGCACAGCGGAACTAGCGTTAACCAATCACAAGTTGGCAAAAGCGGTAAATGCTCATCTTCTGGGAAATGTTGGAACTAACAGTCAAAAGAAGAGTCCACCAGCAGTTGAATTCTGCAGCACCCCAGCGGAGAAAATGGCTGAAACGGTAAAGTATTCCTTGCATGATCTGTGGAACTTCTAACGCTGACTGCTCGCTGAAGGGTGGCGTGTTCTAATGGCAAGTGCTTGGCACTGAGTTCAGGAACATGGGACTTCAACATGAGCTCATGCACATGAGCTTGTGATCTTGGAGAAAATCATTTCCTCCTCTGAACTTTAATTTCCTTGAATATCATTATTTCCTTGAATACATTATAGAAAAAAATGTAATTGTTTTGAAAGAGGGCCTATTTTTTTAGCCTTTTCTCGAATTCATTTTGATATGAAAACTAGCAAGTAGTAGAACTTTTCATTTAGTAATCATGAGTAGATAATAGGTTACTTCTGATTTAAGAGATTATTTGTTAATTCTCACATATAGACCAGTCCTATGTCAGCTCAGCTGTCTGTCTTCTTTGCTTCTATACCCATCAAACTCATCAGCAGGTGATCAGTTCCTCACATACAGAGGCAAAAGGGGGCAGAGAGGAAAACTACTTTTCAGTCCCACTTGATATCCAGGCGCCGGCCTGCACGGCAGCCAGCTTTCCATACATCCTTCCTACTGGAAAAGGCGTCCCCTTCTGGTAAAAGCTCCCCTCCAGGCTCAGCAGGCTCCCCCAACACTCCCCCCTCCTCTCCACTGTTCTTTGTTTTTTTGGCTTAAGAACATGCCCAAGTGCCTCCCATCTGAAATGAAACATCCTCCCTCCACCCCAAGTTCTCTGCGGACAGCCTTCCCTTCACAGTCAAGAATCTTGGACAAGATGACTTGTTTCTCACGTCCCGTCCACCTCAGTGCCCGCTCTCACTTACCTAGTAGACTTCTCGCTCCACTGTCCTCCAGGTCCTTACCAAGGTCACGAGTGTTGAATGACTCTCTTGTCCTATGTACTACATGTCACCTCTATGACATTACTCTTTCCCGGCCCCATGCTACCTCACTGAATTCCTTGTCATAACCTTGTCTCCTCCCCTTCATGTTGATATTTTTAAATTTCCATAGTTTCTGCAATAACTCTGCTGTTTCTGTGACCATTTTCTTCCTGCGATCTGAGGAACGGAGCATCCTTTCCCTGTGCCCACTCTTGAGCATTTCCTCACACAACAGATTCCTTATCCCGAAGCTTTCTGCTTATGACTGTAACTGAGACATTTTTTTTAGTTCAAAAGACATATCCAGGTGGATATTTCTATGTTTGTCCCACAGACACCTAGAAATAGAACAATTTCTTTTCTCCTTGCTTTCACATATGTTCTACCCCTCCACGAAGGAGAAGGAAATTCACCCCCTCCTCTCTACTACTCCCTGTCTTAGTAAACTACACCTACTATAGAGGGATGTCCCGAGGATTTCATAAAGAATGCATATAAATCCCAGATCAGGTTTCAGTGTGGTGTAATTTCTCAATCAATGGTATCTATCATTTTTATTATTTCCTTCATCCCCCAGATCCTGTTGGTTTTACAAATCCTATTAGTTCCTTCGAATTTGTGCTCTATCCCAAGTTCAACCACTGACTTCCAACCTCAATTGTTGCAAGAGCCTCCTCACTAATATCCCTGCCTTGCTTTTCACCTGTCAAAGGTCTTTCAAAAATGCCAACCCCCCCCTCAATCTCAGTGCATTCATCCTGATGTACCTGTTCAAACAGCTCCCAGCCTCCTTTAGTGAGTGTGAATTCTTTATATTGTATAGAAGGATTTTCATAATCTATTCTCCATTTTTCCTTTCAAGGATCATTTCCCAGGTGTACCCTCCCACACATATGTACACACAATTCACAAGCCAGTATTTAAACACTTGTTAGTCCATAGATATGACATTGTGTCTCACCTGCCTATATATACTATTCCTTCTGCCTCGACCGTCCTTCCTGTACCTCTCTCCCTGAAGAATCAGCCCTCCCTGTATCTCACTGGCAAACCTAGATGTTTCCTCCTCCAGGCTTCCATTACATTTATACATACTTATTACAGCTCTTTTACATGTAACATCGCAACTGTTTAACTCTCCATCTCCCAAACTATAAGCTTTTTAAGAGCAGGGGCTATGTCTGATGTGTCCTCAAGGTCTGGTATAATCCTTTGCACACAGTAGGTACTCAGTTATTTACTAAATGAATCAGCGGCTACAACTAAACAACTAAACCCATCATCTCTACCTTTCTGTTCTCTTCATTGGGAAGTTGTGTCCCTCGCTCTGCAGCTACTGCCCACAGCGTCTGCTAGGCCTGACGGCTCCTCCTTGCTTGCAGCTCTCTTCCCTTGGCTTATGGAACCAGTGCTTTTCCCAATTCCTGTCCAATGGCACTGCCTCCCTCTTTGCCACTAACCCGTCCTCATCACATGGCGAGAAGTGGGAGGAGATGAGCACGAGAAACAGGAACTATAGGCAGCGTTATTACGTTACCCTTCCTGGAGGAGTTTTCAACTCAAGAGCTCCTCCTACTGTGGGCCTCAGAACAGCAATGGAATAGGGAAAATCAAAGCAGAAGAATAAGGGAGCCTGGTGCAAAAGAAATGAAAAGCCATTGATTTTTATAAGTGATCGATCAGAATCTGTGAAATAGGATTTCAGTAGAAAAATGGGGGTAGAATCCTGATTCCAAGCAGTTCCATGAAAGACTAAAGGAAGAAGATAGGGGTACTTTTGGTTTAGGATGAAAATGGACATAACTTAAGGTAGAATTGATATAACCTTATTTTCTTCTATGTTTTCATCAGGATCCATAAGAGAACGTCAATTTCTTCATTTTTAAAAAATATGTAAGCTAGGTAGTGTAATAACTAGACATCATTGTTAAATGTAGAGCTTTTTAAGAAAAGGAATAAGTTCCCTCATCAAATTCCTTATTCAGTTGTTATTTTTATGATGGTTACATATTAATGAAATGGAGCTACATAGGTAGTTATACCTCAGTGAACCCCAGGGTTTACAGTCCCTGCTGTGTATTTCTGATATCACCTCTTATCTTCTTAGGTGCTACACATTTTGGACCCCACTACCAGTACAGAAAGCTCACCTGATAATCCGTTTTCTGAGTCTTCACCAACCACCTTACTTGCCACCAAGAAAAATATTGGGCGATTTCATCCCTACACCAGATATGAAAACATCACCTTCAACTGCTGCAACCACTGCCAGGGAGAGCTTATTGCCCTCTAACGTGGCATCGGGCGTGCTGCAGGCCTGAGCCTGCCACCAGGAGTCATTCTTATTGGGAGCGGGGTTCCTAGAATGCTGGAAGTAATCTCACTTTCTACTTAAATGGTGTTTCATGTACAAGACTCCAGGTTACCCTTTCTTACTAAATGTCTCAGGGTCAGAACAGGCGAAGCAGTTCATAGAGAGCAAATACATAGAGAGTGGAGAACGCTTCCCAGGCGTACACAATGCTTTTCCTAATGGGTTTTAAAAGGGAAAATGATATACCTTCTTTTACGCCCCATATCATTATCTCGCTATATATTTTATATGAGCAGATTTAATTTTGGTAATCAGAATCAATGACTGGCAGACTATAGCCATGGGCCTTAGGCAGCCACACCACCATTACTGCTGTCTGCGGGGGCTCTTGTAGTAACACAGAGAGTTCCACGGAGGAGACAGGCTGCAAAGCCTAAAATATTTCCTCTTCGTCCCCTTACTGACCCTACTCTAAATAATCAGCAGAGGGATGGGGAGGAAGTGTTTTTCCCCTTTTCGGTGAATTTGGGGGTCCGGGCGCTACAAAGGAGGCTTAGGAAATACAGTAGGTTGAAGGGATAAATCTTTTAAAAAGAAATGCTGTATATTAGGAAAATTAGGAATTGACAGCAACATTAACAAGAGCTTCAGCAAAATGTGTTCTGTTTTTGTGCAGAGGATTCCATATTTTGAATGGATGCCACTATATATATATATATATATATATATATATATAGAGAGAGAGAGAGAGAGAGAGAGAGAGAGAGAGAGAGGAGAAATAGGTTCTATTTGCTCAATTTGGCAAAGCAACAGCATATCCAATTTGGGATATTTATAAAATAAGGTGGGGTAAGTAGGATCTTTCTAGGATATGGTATAAACTAAAACATGTAACTCATCAATTAATTTACATTATGTAATATCCGTTATTGTTTATGATGGATAATCACAAAACACCTTTTATAGGCATTTAAAACTATCCATAAAATGTTTATACCAAATTATATTAATTAGTTACAGAAGTGCCTGTCAATAGAGAAGCCTTCAAGAAACAAATCTGGTCAGAGTACATTGTATTTTAATGTCAACCTAGTGATTTTTTTGGTTTGATTCACCTGAGTTATATTTATAATTTCATGTGGCAATAAAGTTCTCTATCTTCTTTATTCAATATTGTCTTTTTTCCTCTTAGAATGATGTATTTCATTGCAAGTCTTCATCTAACTGATTCTTCAGCCTTCCCTTTAGTTTTAGTATAAAACTTAGAGGAAAACATAGAGGAAAAGCTTCATGACATTGGATTTGGCAATGATTTCTTAAATACGATACCAGAAGCACAGGCAACAAATAGAAAAAGATAAATTGAACTTCATCAAAATAAAAACTATTGTACATCAAAGGATACTACCAACAGAATAAAAAGGCACCCCACACAATGGGTGAAAATATTTGCAAATCATATATCTAATCCAGTACCCAGAATAAGTAAAGAATTACAACTCAACAACCAAAAGTAACCCAATTTAAAAAATGGGCAAAGGACATGAGTAGAAATTTCTCCCCCCAAAAATAAAAATACTAATGGCCTATAAGCACATCAAAAGATGCTCAAGAATGCGACAACAAAATAGATAACAAACGAAAGAAATGGAGGACAAAAAGCGTCTGGATATAGAGTTCAAATCTACGCTTATAAGGTTTTTCAAGAATTTCCTAGAAAAGATGGATAAGACCTATGAGGATATGAAAAGAGATCAACTAGAATTAATAAGGAGTCATCAAGAAATGATAAGGGATCAACAAGAAATAAAGAATACATTATCTGAAATAAAAAATATTTTACAGAGTCCTAAAAACAGAAGGGAAGATAGCAAGAATCAAGTCAAAGATTTGGAACATAAAGAGCCAGAAGACACTCCTTCACAGAAGCTAGAAGGCAAGAGAATCCAGAAAATTGAAGATAATGTAAGAAACCTCTGGGACAATTTCAAGCGAACCAACATCAGAATTATGGGGGTGCCAGAAGATGAGAGAGAGCAAGATATCGAAAACATACTGAAAGAAATAGTGACAGGAAACTTCCCCCACCTGGTGAAAGAATTAGACTTACAAGTCCAGGAAGCGCACAGAACTCCAAACAAAAGGAATCCAAAGAGGACCACACCAAGACACATCATAATTAAAATTCCAAGAGCAAAAGACAAAGAGAGAATATTAAAAGCAGCAAGAGCAAAGAAGGTAGTTACCTATAAAGGAGCACCTATACGATTGTCGGCTGACTTCTCAACAGAAACCATGCAGGCCAGACGGGAATGGCAAGAAATATTCAAGGTGATGAATAGTAAGAACCTACAGCCAAAGATAATCTATCCAGCAAAGCAATCACTCAGAATCGAAGGTCAGATAAAGAGCTTCACTAATAAAAAAAAAAAAAAGCTAAAGGAGTTCATCAACACCAAACCAGAATTATGAATTGCTGAAGGGGGTTCTTTCAGAAGAGAAAGTAAACAAAGATAAAAATTATGAACAACAAATACGTAACTATCAACAAGTGAATCTAAAAACCAAGGAAATTTAAAAAAAAAAATCTGATGAACAATATTAACTGTTGAATATAATAGAATCAGAAGTATGGAAGGGTAGTGAACTGACGATTTTTGGGGAAAAGGAGAGGGGAGCGTGGGAAGAGACTGAACATAAACTGTGCACCTATGGATGAGGACAATGGAGAGTGGGGAAAGGGCAGAGGGTGGGGTGGGAACCTGGTGGAGGAGAGCAATGGTGGGAGGGGGAGGGCGAAGGAATATTTGTAATAATATGAACGATAAAAACTTATTTAAAAAAAAGATGCTCAATATCACTGATCATTGGAAATGTAAATTGAGTACTTCATACCCATTAGGATGACTATTATCAGAAAAGCAAAATAACAATGCAAGAATGTGAAAAAAATTGGAACTCTTGTGCATTGCTGGTGGGAATACAAAAGGATACAAACACTATTGAAAATAGTATGGCACTTCCTCAAACACTAAACCTAACACTGCTGGCCTCATGGACAAAACAAGACTATTAGGGTTGTTACCAACATTATACCAAGTTATTTACATAAAGCACTTACAATACCAGACACATTATAAACTAAGAGCTGGCTAATTTTGTAACATACCTAAAACAGTATTATGCATAATTGTTACACTTTTAAAGAAGTAAGCTTACCTATTGCTTAGCCTGCCAGAGCTAGTCAAGGTTAAAGTTGATATAATAGGACTTTGTATAAGGCCTTGAGCCAAGCTTGTTCAAGAGGTAACTCCTCTTGCCTTATGAAATGTCCTATTGCAATATTTTCATGATAATAATAGAAATCTGTGCCTTTCTTGTGGATCTTTCCTGCTAGAAACATTAAAATAATTTAGAAGTAAGGGAATAAAGAATGCAGAATTCATTCGTTGTTCAGTTAGTTGCATGGCCTAAGAAAGGGTATAACGCATTCGCACACATCAAGAGAAGTTTATTTTGTTCTAGTATAAAAAAGAAAGGATAAATCGCTGTCAACATCACCAAAAAGATACGTACCATTTCCATAATTCAGAGTATAACCAAAGCACATAGGCATAAAAAAATAATATCCAAAATTCTGAGGATTGTGGCTTCAAAATGAAGCGTTTAATAGATACCTTCAGTTGTAATGATCAGTGAAGCGGAAGGATTTGGCTTCGGACATATATGACTGATTCTGCAACTGCCTGGAACGCTTTGCTTCCAGTCGGAACTGTCTAGTCCTTTCCTTGACAGCTTGTTGCTCCACTAGTTTTTCCATCCGCTTCCTTCGTAGCCACCTGCAGGAACAGACATGCGATCAGGTCTGGTGTCAACCAGCATATATGCTTCATGCTATAAAGTTACTGCTATAGACAAAAGAAATCGAATGTCTTTACATTGAAATACTATAGTGACAACACAAAAGTATTAACTGAAAAATTTCAGTCTAATGCCCTAGATCCATACAAAAAAACAGTTATATCTGGTATTAAATGTTTAAATTAAGTTTGTTTTATAATAGAATTGCAAACATAACATTTTTTAGTAATAAACACTGATTTATATGTGATACGGGCCCTATCCTTTTTGAAAAAATATGGTTTTTATAAGTAAATAAGTATGTGATAGATTCCAAATAACTAATGTTTTTATAACTAGCTGAATGCTAAAACTTACTTAACCAGACTGAGAATCCTAGCATGCATCAATATTGCCTTGCATTTCTTGGTAGGAAATTACAGAGCTCTTGATTTCCATTGCATAAACTAGTTCTTCCTTAAAGCAGAAAAATAAGCCTAAGCATAAAAAAAATTAAAAAACGGAGAGTCCACATTCTAACAAATGTAAGTCTATAAATCTTGCTTAGGTAAAATAACATAAAAATGATTGTATACACACATAGCTAGTATGTAAGAACGTGTGTGTGTGTGTGTGTGTGAGAGAGAGAGAGAGAGAGAGAGAGAGAGAGAGAGAGAGAGAAATGGCTCTAGGCTGGAGATAGATGAGATCATTAATGAAAATAAGCCAATTGTGAACCGTTTGTAAGTATGATCTCAATTTCTGTTTTTAAATTGTAAGTACAGAGAAATATCTAGAATATATGCACTCAGGTCCTAACAACAGTGATTTCTGAGTGATAAGAATGTGATGTATCACCCTCCAGTTCCACAATGCATATTTACTGCTACTATAATAAAGGGTTATATATTTTTTTAAAAAAGGAAGAAAGATACAAAGAAAAAAAGAAATATATAAAAAACAAAAACAATGAAAGTAACTTCAAACAGCAGGACTCCCACTGGCTTGCTGGCAAAATTATAAGCCAGATGTGTTTTCTTAGAACCAGCCAGCCAATGCAGGATTTTACCCATACTGAAAAGAGATAAGGATTGCCTTCAGCCACCAAAATATGTACCCAAATCTCCTCTCACTTTGTCTATATAGATCTCCCTTCTCAGTCTGCCTGCCTTTCCTTACAGAAAAATAGTTCTAGGTAAATGCAATTCTTTATTTAGTTTTTCTGAGGACTACGTAGGAAAAGCTGTAACCAATCTGTGGCCCATTTCTCTAAGAAATGAACAAATCAACAAACAGACGAACATATGAATGAATGGTATCCTCTCAGAAGCTATCACACTGGTGCTATAGAAACTGTTTTAGCAGAAACTGCTTTGGCTCAGTGGATAAAGCGTTGGCCTGTGGACTGAAAGGTCCCAGGCTCGATTCCGGTCAAGGGCGTGTACCTTGGTTGTGGGCACTTCCCCAGTAGGAGGTGTGCAGGAGGCATCTGATTGATGTTTCTCTCTCATCGATGTTTCTAACTCTCTATCCCTCTCCCTTCCTTTCTGTAAAAAATCAATAAAATATACTTTAAAAAAAAATAAAGAAACGATTTTAGTATAGAAAACTATCTTGAAAGAATGATATCAATATTGTGCCAATTGTGGAAGTAAAGAATCTCACACATTTATTAAAGTGGATTTAAAATGGAAAAGGATGCAATGTCAAAGATCCAATATTTGGCTTTTCCTGCCAAACTTTATCGATCTATAACTTTCTAAAACGACCATGAGGGAGGCGCACGCTCTGCCTCTGACTCACTGTTTGAAGGCCCGCTCACGGCCCTCTGTCCCCTGGAGGAAGAACAAGCACTCCTCCTGCTTTCGCAGTTCTTCTGTCTTTCTTTCTTTCATCTGCTCTTCGTGCTTCTTTCTAAGCCATAACCGGAAAGCTTGTTGGGGGTCTCTGTTTTCCTGCTAGATATGAAAACAAGGTTTGTTTAACTTAATAAACCACAACTACTCGCTGAGGCCTTGCCTATAGGGCCCTACAAAAATACGTCCCACTCATAAATGTTTCGTAGTTACCACCCATGACCTGCACTCCTCATATCCAAACCAAACACATCACATCTGAATCAGCAACACTGACAACCCCCCATCAGAAAACTCAGCACTGAATTCACTGCCAAGGGATCTTTCAAAAATCTTAGTGAGCATGGCCCTCCCATGTTTATTGCAGCATCGTTTACAAGAGCCAAGATGGAAACAACCTAAGTGGTCATAGGTGAATGAACAAAAAAGATGTGGCATTTATGTGCAATAGTGTACTACTCAGCCATAGAAATAGATGACATATTGCCATTGATGGATGGATCTCAAATGTACCATGCTAAGTGCAATAAGTCAGATGGAAAAGGACAAAAAAACTGTGACTTCACTCATTTTTATGGGAAATATAAAACAAAAAAGACACGAACAAACAAAACAAAATAAAAACAATGTCAGGTACAGAAAATAGATGGTAACAGAGGGGAAGGCAGTAGGGAGAGAGCAAAATGGGTGAAGGGGTCAACTGTGTGGTGATAACTGGGGAGCACACTACAGCGTACACAGATATGGAATTATAATCCTGTGTACCTGAAATTTACAAAATGTTACTAACCAATGTCCTCTCAATAAAAAATACACACATACCTAAGTACATGCATACGTAGAAGGAAAGAAAGAAAACAATACAGTACAACAGCTATTTGCATATCATTTACATTGTATTAGGTATTATAAGTAACCTAGAGGTGATTTAAAGTGTATGAGAGGATTTTTTAGGTTATATGCAAATACTACACCCTTTATATAAGGAACTTGATCATCCAGGGATTTTGGTGTCTCAGAGGGACCCAGGGATCAATCCCACACAGATACTGGGGGAGGACTGTCATCAATAAATGAAGGTCTACACATAACGACTTGCAAACTTTGCAAAGTCGAGCCCTTTGACAAAGGAAATGATTGTGCACAATGGCAAAAACAAATGAACTGCTGGAGAAAGGCAGTGTGAGCAGAGTTGAGGTCTTTGTAGAAATTTGAAGAATGTCCGTGGAATCCAGCCTGAAAACCAAAGATCCAACATGTACTCAGCCTTTCTTTATATCCTAACTCTGGGCTCAGACCCCAGAGTTCTCAGTGGGAACCCCATAGCTGAGCTATCCCTTCGGAACTTCAGTTGCTGCCTGGGCAGCCTCCGGGCGATTCTGCACTTCCTACCAGTCTGTATGCGTCTCCACTTTCCACCTTGGTTATCAGGTTCTCTCCAGCTAGTCTTCATTTCATTATCAGGATGGTTTTTCTATATTTTAGCTGTAATATTAGTTTGGTCCTGGGAAAGTATCCGTGTAACTTCCACTTCATCCGCCCCCACCGTGGAACTTCAAGAGATCCCAACTTCGATGGTTAGCTCTAGAGCATCTAGCTGCCCAGCCCCCCTCCAAAGCTGGAATTACTCTGATGGGGAGTGGCTTGAGCATTTGCAGGCTTAGAATTTTCCCATAAGGGGAACAGTCATGAAGCCTTGTCAGAAGCAGCACCTAACGGGAGTGGCTCGTTGTGTTGAAAGAGCTTATAAAGAGCTTATTTGGGAGAACGAGGAGAGCAAAGGGACAGATCTGGAGCCTTGGGGTGGATGCCTGGCTAGAACACTCATTTAATACTTTCCCCAAATATGATGGAGAAGACCTCCTACATCTTGCATTTTCCTTTCCCTGTGATCCACATGGCAAACCATACTGATCTCTCTTAGGAAATGCATGTGACTTAAGTTCTTTCGTGTACGACGCTGAACCTGGTGAAGAGGACTCGTGGACCTAAGGATATGGCTGGACATCCAGAAATCACGGAGTGGCTGCAGATGACAAAAAGTGTTCATCTGGAATTATAGATCAGAAGAGTCAGGAGTTCAGGGACAAATAGGATTGATGGGTATCTCTGTATATTTAATTCATTCAATGGATATTTACAGAGAATCTATTATGTAGAATAGCTACAGGCACATGAGTACTCAGTCACATTAATGAAAAAACCATGTCCTCTCTCCCATACATCCTAAGCCTATGCTATACAACACAGGAGCCACTAGTCACATGTGGCTACTGACAGAAAATCTAACATTCAGTATCTTGGTCACAAGTTCCACTTCCAATCTTCACAGCCACACTGTGGCTTGGTCACCAGCACAGGTGCAGGGCATTTCCATCAGGTCAGAAATCACACTGGGGAATGTTGTTCTAGACGAGCAGATAAAAATAGATGATTGATTGACTGACTGATGATATGTCCAATTCAAAGAAAAGTGTGGTAAGGAGAGAGACTAATAACGGGAGGGGAGGAGAAAGGAAGGCATTTAGAGAGAAAGTGAGGGAGCGAGTTTGGAGACATCTGGACAAAGTGTCATCCAAGCACTGGCAGCACAGCAAAGGACCTGACTGGTTGTTTTCCTCATTCAGTAGGAAGCAAAGTCACAATGAAGCGGTGGCAAAGGGGCTGGCAAGGGGAAGGAGACCAAGTCAGAATAACAGGGATCCAACAGTGTACAGTCTTCTAGGCGGTGGAAGGAACTTGGGACTTTATTTCAAGATGAGAAGCCATTGGAGGTTTCAGAGCATACATGACACAATCTCCATCGCATTTCAGAGGCTCCCTCTGGCTGCTACTGGAGTGGAATGGAGTTGGGGGCCAGTGGAAGGAGGAGGAGCAGATAGCCTTTTGCAGTGGGTCACGCAACACACAGAGGTGGTTTAGATGAAGGTGGTGGGACTCGGGATGTAAGTTGAAGAAAGAATAGACAAAAAGTTCTCCAAGATCAAATGTAGGGTTTTATATCATGCTTTAGTAGATTATGTTTTAATATTTCCAGGATTTGTTTTTATATTTTTATTAATGCAACCATATAAAACCAAACATTTCTGCATTACAAAACAAACAAAAATAATAAAAAAGCCAAAGGAAAAAATAATGCAGATTCCTCAAAGAAGATTTCCTAACAGAAAAGTTGACAAAGAATCTTTCTATGAAAAGAATAGTCAAACAGCTTATAGGTAATCTGTCTGAAAATAATACTGCAGCACAACAGTATTTCCTACCTATAATGTCGGTAAAAATAAAAATACTTGAAAGCACACTTCTTAATGCAGGTGTAGGGAGTGTTTTGTGTGTGTGCACTATCTTTGCCCTATCTTACCTAATAAAAGAGTAGTATGCAAATTAACCATCACTCTGCTATACCCATAAACCATGCCCACCAGCCAATCAAAGTGAGTATGCAAATAAACCCAACCAAGATGACTATCAGGAAGGAGGCTTGGGTTTCCCCGGTAATGGAGGAAGCCAAGCTTTCCACGCACCCTGGTGGGCCCAGGCTTCCACTCCAGGCTACAAAGTTTCAATTATAAAAGATACATAAAACCAAACAGAAATGGTGGCAGCCATGGAGCAAGCAGGAGGCTTGGCTCCACTCCAAGCTACAAAGTTTCAATTATAGAAGGTAAATAAATTCCAGATACCAGGGCCTTTGCTTGGTCGCCAGGGGGGCCTGCCTGGCCTGCAAACCACCACAGGCCCCTCGCCCAGGCTGCTCCATGCCCCAAGGAAACCCTCACCCTGATCTGGGACACCCTTCAGGGCAAATCAGCTGGCCCCCTCCCATGCACCAGGCCTCTATCCTATCTAATAAAAGAGTAATATGCAGATTGCCCATCACTTCAACACACAAAATGCTGCCCCCATGTGGACAAAGATCCTGCCCCCATGTGGACAGAAGATGGCCACCACAAGATGGCCAGCAGGGGAGGGCAGTTGGGAGGCACCAGGCCTGTAAGGGAGGGCAGTTGGAGGTGATCAACCTGGCAGTTGGAGGTGATCAACCCTGCAGGGGAGGGCAGTTAAGGGTAGTCAGGCTGGCAGAGGAGAGAAGTTGGAGGCAAACAAGCTGGCAGGGGAGCAGTTAGACATCAATAAGGCTGGCATGGGAGTGGTTAGGGTGATCAGGCTGGCAGGCAGAAGTGGTTAGGGGCAAACAGGAAGGTAGGCAGGCGAGCAGTTGGGAGCCGGCAGTCCTGGATTGTGAGAGGGATGTCTGACTGCCCGTTTAGGCCCAATCCTGGGCAGTTAGACATTCCTTGAAGGGTCCCAGATTGGAAAGGGTGCAAGCTGGGCTGAGGGACACCCACCGCCTCCTCCCCCATCCCTGTGCACAAATTTCATGCACTGGGCCTCTAGTTTGAATATAAAAGTTACACTGTCTTTTAAAAAATTGGTAGCTTTCCCTACTTGGTGCTCTTAAAGTTTAAGTGAAATAGGAATCATTGGGTTTTTGCAAGGCTACTTAGGATGTGCCTGATGCATCTTTTGCGAGGGTGGTTCCTGGACCACTCTCTACGTCTCCCAGACGTTCTTAGCTGACATCCGGATGACCTTCTGTAAACAACTTCCACCTTCATCTCTGTGTGAAATTAATGTTCCCAGAAGTTTTACTTACTCTGCTGCTCATGTCTTCGATTTCCTTTGCTCTCTGAACTCTCCTCATTTCCACGACCTGCTCTCTTTTCTTCTGCAGCCACGCTCTGAATACTATGTCGTTCTCCTTTTTCTTTTCTCTCTCCTCTTCTATCTTCCGTTGTTCTTCCTGGGGGAAAGAATATCAAAAGGCATTAATGAAAGAGTTAAAACTCATAGATGAGATCTTTGAGAGATGTATTTTGAGATCTGAAGTTAGTATTCCCTGCCTCTAAAGCTTTCCATCGAAAAGCTAGGCGTTCTTTAAAATAATAATAATAAAATAATAGTAATAATAATAATGCCTCTAATTTGCTTAGGAAGAGAATGAAGCTTTTTAAAATAAACTAAACTGTAGAGACAAAGGCTACAATTATATGGATGTACAATACATACTGCCTAGCAATGCCTTGAATCTCTCCTCCACTTCCTACTTTAATTTTGGTCTTAAATTGAAGCACTCACTGTATGATGTCCATAAAAGTAGGGAGCTGTCCTAAATGTTTTCATATTATTGTTGCATTTGCTCATTGTAATAAGCGGCATTGTGGTTGCAAAGAAAAGGCTACTGTCACTTAGAGATGAACTTTGAAGGGTACAGGTGAGCCATCATGTGCTGTCTGGGACCTGCTCTCAAAATTCCTTAGCCAAAGGAGATGAAGCAAACACGCCAAAAGCTCAGCGATTTTTGAATTTGGATGTGAGAACAGAGGGGTTAGTTGCACCTTTAGATATGTTTGGATTTTTTTATTATTATGCTTAAAAATACTTTCAACTAGCATATATTCATAAGTTAACACTTTCCCATCAGGAAAAATGTATAGATAATTAGTTAAAAGGAAGAACAAAATGCATTTTTACATCTGAATTATCCAACCAATGTTCTAAAAAGGGAGCGACTTAAACCTGAAGGGAGGAACTTAATGGGACCCAGTTACATGCAGCGATGAAGCAGCAGCGAGTGAGTGGACGCTGGGTGGCGGGGAGAGGAGGGGGGACAGCGGTGAGCTGGACCCGAGGGCCCTCAGGCTGCCGCTCAGCGCAGTGCTCTCCTCTCCTCTGGGAGCCGCCTTCACAGGGCTCAGGCTCTCCCAGTACTCAGGGTCATCGCTGAAATGACCTGAGCTACACAGTCCATGCTTACGTTCGCTCAAAGAATGGAAGTCAGAATTCTTTTCTTACATTTTGACAACAGAGAAAGTCCTTCCAATTCCTTTGGATCGAACACCATTTGGGAAGGAAAGGCAAAATTCTATCCCCTTAACAGCAAAAAATACCTTTCAACATGCCTGACTACTATTTTCTAAACCCTAATGGAGCTTACATTACATAAGGACGTTGGATGTCTTGTATACACACAGACAGCATGGCAAGATGATTCTCTCTCCAGAAGAAACCTCAGACACTTACTGGTACACAGACGACATCAGCCAGGGCCCCGCTAACAGAGCTGCCAGGGAGAACAGGAAATGGCTCCTTAGCAGAGCCAGAGCACAGCAGCCGGGCCTACCAATGTTTTGTCAGGCATAAAAAATAAAGCCTGTGAAAGAAGCTAAATAATATTTTTAAAGCCTTAGAATGTAAAGCCCGTGCCTTCAGCAAGTACACAAGGGAAGGGAGACAGCTCTTCGGATCTCTGACACGAGGAGAGAACAAGAGGTGTGATGCCCAGAAAAGAGGACCAAATGCAAACAGAACCACCTGCCAGCCGCAGCAGTCACAGTCACACTTAGTTCACTGGCGAGAGATCCTGAAATGGTGTAAAACCTCCTCTACCACTTTTATAGACACACACCCACACCTGTGCATGGATGTGGGCATTCAATTATCCTCCACAAATAATTTTGTAGTGTCATAAAGTTGACAGAGCCTTTTTAGTATGGTTACGTATCTGATCCAAGTAAACCGAGCCTGACTGTTAGTGTTTAAAGACCAGAGGCCGAGCAAAAAAACACTGTGAATCTGCATCTTTCAGACTCCGGCCTGAGTGTGCTGTGGGTCCATGTTCTTGCTGACTCTGTTTTTCCCTTTTCCTGCGAATGAGAGTTCCTGATAAATGCAGACATTCCCCGGTAGTTTCCTACCTAAATGGAAAATATACTATTTCTCAATGAATGCTAAGAAAACTGGGACTTTCTACTCCAGCTTTGCTGCAAACGAGTTGAATGACTATGGTAAAGTTATGTAAACTTTCTACACTATAGTTTTCTGATCTGCAACATGATCTTTAAGCTTTCCTCTAACTGTAACATTTTATTAAACCATAATTCTGTTGAGGTTTGGTATTTATAGTTAGACATTTTGTGTGGTTCAGCTTAATTCCATTAATTATCCAGTAAAACAGAGAATCTGGGGCACTGATTTAAATCAATTCAAGAAAACACACCTGTTTTGGTACCTGGAGTTTTCAATTATAAAATACTTTTATTTTAAGAGCAAAGAAATACCCCAAAATAGTAATTTTGGATTCCATAAGACATTCTGGGGATATTTTACTAAGGTTATTAGTTCTATTCTTAATTTGAAACTAAAATCCCTGAACTTGCTCTAACTAATTTGGCTCAGTGGATAGAGTGTCAGCCTGTGGACTCAAGGGTTCCAGATTCAATTCCCAGTCAAGGGCATGTACCTTGGTTGCAGGCACATCCCCAGTAGAAGGTGTGCAGGAGGCAGCTGATTGATGTTTCTCTCTCATCCATGTTTCTAACTCTATCCCTCTCCTTTCCGCTCTATAAAAAAGTCAATAAAATATATAAAAAATATAAAATAAAATCCCTGAACTCAAGGGATTATAGGCATAGACGATACGTGAAACACACTAGCCACAGAACTATAATCCAATTCTACCTGTTGCCTCCTAACCCCCAACACAGCTTGCCTACATTTTCCCCCGTCATGTGATTCTCACCTGTCTCACATCCAGGTTGCTTATAGCAGTCACCTGACTCCTCTGAGCCTCACCTTTAAAGTGAAAGGATCAGAGGAAGTCCCCATTGACCCCAGCTCTAACCAGGTGTTCTTCACTGAGCGTTGGGAGCCTTACACCAAGGACCAAGGTAGCCATGGTGTTGTTCATCCCATTCACACACATCCTACCCCTCAGCCCTTCCACTGACGATAGAAAGACAGAACAAGCAGGCAATACAGCCAACGCTCTGAAGAAGCGCTTCAGTTGCTGCTGCGCCTGTAAAACATGAAGACACACTCTCCTCCCCTCCCTGTGCCCACACGGCTCTCACCTCTCTCCTCAGCTTTTCTCTCCTTTGTTCCAGCCGCTTCTGCAGTTCCTTCTGTCGCGGAGAGAGACAATACGTTGAGGTCACTGGAGATACGCTGGCAGACTGTATCCTGTGATAAAACTTCCCATTCCCCTTACTGAGCTCAGAGTTGGCAGCGGAGTTGGGCCGAGCCTTGGGGTCGGGCGGCGACTGGGGGCGGAAAGCCACGGGCTCCTCGGTGGGTGAGTCCTGGATCTTGGCTGCTGGCTCTTCCTTTTTGACACCACTGACCACTGAGCCAGAAGACCTGGGCGATGACTGCTGAGCTTCGTTTTCTGAACTGTTGACGTTGCTAATGGGGGGCAAGAAGCCCTGACTCTCAATGTCCTGCAGATTGAGAAGTTCAAACTTCCCGTCTCTCTCCACCAGGATCTTCCTGTCCTTGTTCTCCTCACAGTTCCCGCCAGGGAGCGACAGCAGCACGCCTTCCTGTCCAAACCCGTTGGAAATGCGTAACTGCGACAGCTTCCCAGACACGTTACTCTCACTTTCAAGGTAATGTTTGTAGTCATCAGTGTCTTCCAGCGGAGGGACTTCTAGATCCACTAGTTTGTCCTTGAACTTCAGTTTCCGCTCCCTCTTATCATTCACGGGTTCCTGGCTCTGTAGGATCTTGTTGGCTTGTATAATTTTCTCCATAATGTATCTCCTCACTTCCTCATCCTCGTCCTCCTCTGCGTCTTTCTGGCTTTCCAGTTTGGATTCCTGGAAAGAGTTTTCACTGTCCGAATCTGACATGGGCTCCAAAGACTGGCTGCTCGGCACGGAAATGTAGTCATTCCTTCTTGGGGAAACCTCTTCTCTCGTGGATGTGTCGGGATCAGAAAGCTGCCCGGTGTGCTCAGCTTCTGTGTCATTCTCTTTTAACTCTTTGCTAGTGCTCTCTTCATCCCCACAAGCCATCTAAAAAACAAAAAAAACGACATGAGGTTCTCTTTTCAGTAAACTGGAGGCACTTTGTCTATTTATATGTAAAAATTCAAAAGTGGATTTTGTTTTAGAAATGGAAAAATAACATGCTTCCTGCTCACTCTTTGCTAATAATATTCTAACGCATATTTGTGAGTAACCTAGGGGAAATGCATGAACAGCAGCAGTTAGGAAAAATTAACTCTAAATTTGTATTTTTGGTATTGAGTGCTATCTTGATATTTAAAAATTTTATGCCAATAATGAAAATGTAACTATAAATAATATTTTAATATTCCACCCTCTATAAAATTGTCCTCCCTTTTCATTTCCAGAAGTATATTTTTAAATGTTTTCTTTTTATAATACTTATATTCTTAAAAATAAAAAAGTATCTTTCTCCCCAAGATTATGAAAGGTTACTGCCATTGGTCAAGTCTTAATTATTTTGAGGTTCTTAGAATCCCTTGAGATTATTACCATTTTCTGCAGAACCCAAAATTCCAGATCAATTTTTTCCTCTAGATTTTCTAAAGTAAAAAAAAAAAATAGACCCTTTATATTTTTCTATATTAATTCCCTAAAGAGCTCATTCACTTGTCTTTTCTTTGTTGCTCAGACCTTATTTACTCTTAAGGTTTTAAATATTAGTCAAAAGACTATGTTTTTGAGGATTTGCTTCATTTGTCATTTATATCAAACCTCCATGATTTTATCCAAGTTTATAAACTAGAAATCAACTGTACTCATTTTACTGTAGATACAATTAATTATATTATATAAATTATAATTTTAGAATAATATTTTAGCTTTATTAAATACTAACTTAATCCCTGTTCTCTCACTAATTACCCCTATGCCTTATGATACATTTAAACTCTCTGTGCCTTAATTTTCTCATCTATAAGATGGAATGATGTCATCTGTTCTATGTACATTAAAGAAATTTTGTGAGTTTAGATGAGATAATGTGAAACGCTTCAAGAATTACAAAACACTTTGTTAATATCATTATGAATGCTGTTGGCAATTTATATATACCTCTAGTATGTTGACATCACTTTGTTCTTTTTCATTAATTAACCACTCCAGATCCTTTTCAAAGTCATCTTCATATTCTCCAGTTTCTTTGGAATCAGTATCTTTATTTTCATCCATTTTCTGTGTGTGAGGGAATAATGCTGTGAGACGAAATGTGCACTTCAGGTGCAGTGTGAGACCAATGTTAAAGATAAGCTAGTTAACACATAGACGCACAAAGTATGGGGTGCCCGGAATAAACATGTCCTGTAGACTTACAATGGCCAGACATTTTCTAAGTGTACTACTCCTAACCACCCCCTCCCCCTCTGCCCCAATTCCTGAAACAGGAATTTGCAAGGAGATGAAGAGGCAGATAAGAAGACTATCAGTGCTTAGAGAGGGATGTCCCACATTCCCTGCACAGCATTAAAATGAGGTGCGCATGACTCAGCTTCTTAGTCTCACTCATCTGCATTTTCTTATGTTCAACTGAACACGGTATATCAATTCCCATCCTCAGTTTCTCCATTCTTCTTGAAGGAGGATCTAGTCATTTATAGGTGTAACTTTAATTTGTGACCGGAGAGCTTTTCAAATAATTAATAACTAATTCTCATTTATGGTAAATGCTGGTTTCCACAGAAGTCAGGCAATTATCAACTCTAAATAAGGCATTTTTTGTTAAAAAGACAAAAAAACTCCGATGCCTGATACTAGAAGACAGTGACAATAAATAGAGATGTCAGATGAAAGTTAATAAATGTTTCCGAAATGGTATGTAAATGCATTCATTTTTAAGAGAGCTAAACTAAAGTTATCTTCAAATTGAGGTCAGTGCATAGCCATGCTAATTTATTGTGCACAACTTTTCAAACAAAAGAAATATGTAAATCTCTACCTATAACGTGCCTATATATGTTTGTGAACATACCACATATATATATAATTTGGCACACTCATTGAACACTATAATATATATATGTGTGTGTGTGTGTGTGTGTGTGTGTGTGTGTGTGTGTGTGTATGCCTAATATGCAAAGTGGCAAAGTGCCCCCTTGGGAGTTCAACCAGGAGATCAGGAGCTTGATCACTTGCTATGACGTGTGCTCACCACCAGGGGACAGTGCGGAACAAAGGAAGGCCCTGGCCAACAGCCAGCTGGCAGCCATTAGGGACCCTACCTGTGCACAAATTTCATGCACTGAGCCTCTAGTATTCCTATAAAGATTATACAAGACCTTTGGCCTACTCAGTCTGGTACAGTAGGCAAACAAACAAAACACATTAATTAAAAATGTAGGAAAAAATAAAAATGTAAGTAAATGAGGTTTAGATGAGATAACTCAGTCTAAATTAGAAATAAAGCTGAGCAGGGTTTGATTACTGAGTGTGAGAGTCCATCAGTTATTCCACACAAACCGAACAGCACGTGAAAGAACGAACAAACAGGGACAAGCCTGGAACTGAACATAAAGCTGCCACTAAAGAAAAATCCCAAAGGAATATGGAGGGGTTGGTTTGATGTCATATTATCTTTCACAAAGAAAAGGGTTGAGGGAAAATTGTTTATGTAGAATTGTCACAAAATAACCAAAGGAAGAACTATATATCAATAATCTACATACTTCCCACTATTGACTTAAACAAACAAAATAGTCATGCTCTCCTAATAAACACAGAATATCAGACCCAGCTTCAAAAAACTGTAGAAAACTGATGTTAGAGAGCCTGTTCCCACACCTGCTTCTCTGGCCCCTCCACCGAGAACACGCTGCCTAAAACCGCCAAGAATGCGTTGCCTAAAACCCGCTTGGGAAGTAGAAAGAACATATGTCAAGAACGTGAGACCTCAGCACATTTGTAAAGATGTAACCTGAGAGCTATTGTGGCTGAATTGATAAAATACCCAACCTGAACTTTCCTTTAGCCATTAGCTTCACTTTACTTTCTCCAAATATTTGAGGAGACCACCTGGTCCTGGTACCAATTTTACTAGAGTAAGATTTAAATTGTTTTCCTTCCACTGTTCACTGAGAAATGACAGTGGAAGCGTGTGGCAGGGCATCTGTCCACTGGCTGCACCACACAAGTGGCAGGCTTTTCAACACTACATGTAAAAAAACACCGCAGTAGGCTTTAGTGGACACTGGGTTCAAAATGAGTTTAAAAATGGAGACACCCCAAATGTAACAGAGCTCCAAGGCTGAGCCTGCGGGTGACAAACAGACAACACAGGAAGCCCTGTACCCATTTCCCGTGCTACTGCATGTAAAGAGCAGAAGACCAGCTGGGACTCACTCGGGGGCTAGCAAGCCAGGAGAGGGGATCAAAGAGAGGAGAAGGGAAGAAGGGAGGTTGTGAGAGTGAAGTGTCTTAACAGCGGATGCTGGGGAGCACTGGAATGAGTCTAAGGAGACACAGGACCTGATGGCACCTGTTCAACACTATCTAAAAGGCTGCCACGTGAAGGGGAGTGCAGTTGTATGATGTCAGGGAGCACAATTAGTACGGAGGGCTGGAAACGTGGGGCAGACTTAGGGACATGGAAGAAAGACGTTCCATTTCAAACCTTGTCCTGAAGTGAGCTGACACGCCCACTGAAGCGCCTAGAAGACGACTCGAGCATGAATATCTTCCAGGAGATGAGGCTTTAGAAAAGTTGGGCCAGATGACTCTTAAGGTCGCTTTTAACCGTTTACATAAGACGCAAATTAACCAACAACTGCCGACTCATGAAAAGCAAGAGAATTTTAAAAGCAAATGCATAGCGCCACAATGAAGTGTATCTAACAACCAAAATAGAGACAGACTCATAGAGAGCAGGATGACAGCTGTCAGTGGCAGGGGGAAGATGGGAGAGAGGAGTGAGGGACTGAGCAAAACAGAATATGAAAAAGGGAAACTCTCATGTAAAAAATAAAGAGAGAAGTGCAGATTCGTATTATAAAATAGTCATGGGGATGTAAAGTACAGCACAGAAAAGCAGTAAATAATATGGTAGTAACTCTCTATGGTGCCAGCTGGGTACCGGGAATATCAGAGGGAACACTGTGTAAAGTATATGATTGTCTAACCATTCTGCGGCACATCTGAAACGAACACAAAATAATACTGAATGTAAACATATATGTACACTTCAAAAAATAAAATAACTACTTGGTATCTAAATTACTAAGTTCAAGATTTAAAAACACCGTGGAGTCTGTCTCTTTTAAATGTCATCTTTCTTTGTCTAGTTCTTCATTTTGGTTTCCTTTCCTTCTCAAGACAAAGTTAGTTTTAGGTAACTGAAATGTCAATTATTCAACTGATAATTATAACTATTTCTAACGTATTAGTTGGACTATAATTACTAAACTAAGATTACAAAATGGACGTTCTTAAAGGACTCAGAGTAAGTCAGAGGTTTTGAGCAGTAATACTGTGAGGTGACCTAGAGAAACCAAGTCAGTACTGCAGAGTAAGGTTACTCACCACTGTCTACCTGCCAGACAGACTAAACCACATCCACTGACATGCTCCCTTACCTAGCGAGTAAACTAAGGTTGCCATGAGCCACGCAGAATAAACTGAACTCATTGTGATCCAAAACACATACACAGTTCTGTTTTCCACAGTCACAAATGCCTTAGAACCCCCAGCTTTCCTTTCAGAGTAGGGACCATGAAATATACTATTTGAAGATATTTAAGTTACATAACTAATCATTAGAATAAGATCTGTATAGAACTCTTCAGTGCTTTCCCTTAGTTTTATAATAAACAGAGTGGAACTTGTAAATAAATGGTTGTCTAAAGACTCATTAATATGCTTTATTACTTACAAAGCATCTCACCATGGGAAAACTGAAATTTAAAGCCATACCATAGCATAAAAACAATAAATAAAAATAAAATGATTACGAATTAAACGTAGTAGGTGTTATTGAATCATACTGATATGCCATACTTAAGAAAGCCACAGTTAAAGTGACTATGGGAAGTAATTGATAGGTTGAGTCAAATCAAAAGTGCTGTTCTTTTCCTATAATTTTAAAAAACCCATGGCTAGTTCCCAAGTGAACAAAGAACAAGAATCGCAAACCCTCGTTACCTAGTCCCCTAAGCCTCTTTCACGTGCGTCACCGGATATAATCCCCTTCAGTTCCTTTAATCCTCATCCCCAGAGTGCTGGCCATGTGATACACAGTCAACATGCTCCAACACAAATACTCCCTACACAAACTGAGTCACCCAACACAGTTCCTGCAAGTTTCACACATTTAGATTTCCATGTTTATCCTCATTAAAAATCCATGTAACTGGTAGTTGAGAACTACCTTCTTTTTAACAGGAACTGTAGTAAGAGACAGAAATGAATTCCTTCTCCTTGGTGTCTGCTAACTCCCTCTTTTTAGTGTTGAGTCTGAGTCCAGAGATACAATTTTGCCAGCTTTCAGGATTCAAAACTTTCAAGAATAGTTTCATCTAGTCCATAGACTCCACTGTTACCTCATCTACAAACCTAAGGAAATTGAAAAAATGTCAAAGAGAACACCTTTTAACATAAAATAAGGACTTAAGCAAAATTGAACCAAGAGTAACACCCTGCCACCACCTCTGCCTCCTCCGCACCCTGCCCAGGCTGATGGCCAGGACTGACAGAAGGTGAGGGATTAACAGAGAACATATGTGCTTAACCTGTGGACACAGACCACAGTGAGGTGATGGCGGAGGGAGGGGGGTCGGGGTTTGAGTGGAGGGAAGAAAGGAGGGATGATTAGGGACAGCTGTAATCGTGTCAACAATAAAAACAAAGAAAAAAGAACGCATAATCTGTCACACCGAGCCCGAGGGTAAATACTAGTTAACAAACACCAGGTTTTCGCTTGTATGCAAGGTGCCAGGACTCAGTGAAGGCCCTGCCTCTTCCCGGGGGGAAGCCAATGTCCTGGGAGTGAGTTTTCGGTCGGGGAGGCGGCGTGGAGGGGGAGACACGACGACAATGACAGGTACCGAAGCCACGCCAGCGCCGCCGGCTCCGGGGACGCGGGACCGGAAGGATGTGGAGGCCACAGGACGGCTCTTCCCCTGGGTCTTCGCCCGCCTTTCTTCCCCGGGCCCGGCAGCAGTCCCCCCTTTCACTCGCCCCCCCCC